AAAAAAAAAAAAAAAAAAAAGCCACTTTGGGATAGAAAGTAACTGTGGTTTGTGACTTTTCACTACCTGTGTTTATGTCTATAAAAACATTTAGTGGATCAAGTGTCTTTTAGTCTCTGAAATAGTTGAGAACCCCATGTTAACTTTAAGAAGATCATCCCTGGAATATTACTTAAAATTGCTTTCGATTAGTTTTACTTCCAATGTTACAAGATTAGTTAAGTATGATCTCCCAAGGAAAAATACACACACACACACACACACACACACACACACACACACACACACACACTTTTGTTCTATTAAAATAAAAACAGAATGGCTGTTTGATGAAAACCGAAACAATGCTGTTTAAGATTACAATGTTTAGGACCAGGGATTTAGCTCAGTGGTTCTACCACCTGCCATGCAAGCACAAGGTCCTGAGTTCAATCACAGGTACCCCCCCCCAAAAAAAAGATTACAATGTTTAGTAAGTCACAGCATAAGTGAAGAAGGCTGAACCCTAAACCAAATATATTTTAAACATTTCATTACATGTAATGTTGCTTTTACTACAGTAAAGAAACATTTTTGGGGCCGGGGATTTAGCTCAGTGGTTCCATTGCCTACTTTGCAAGTGCAAGGTCCTGAGTTTGATCCCAGGTACCAAGAAAAAGAAAAAAAAGAAACATATTTTTCAAAACACTTCCAAACCTACTCAGCTATTTCAGATTTCATTTTTTCTGGTGTTCATTTTTAGTGTTTTCTTCTGAGAATTATGTATGTGTGCATGCGTACATATAGGTGTGTGTCTGCTTTATATATGGCTTCTATTGGTAATGGATAAAATCAAAATAGAAAGTAATGGGGGAAAATCAAAGGTAAGTTTTGAAAGGGCAGTTCTTATCACTGGTAGGTTAACAGAAAGGTATGTACAAACTGGAATACAAACCGCAATGCATTAGTTTGGAAGTCAGGAGCATCTGGTTTTCCTCAAAAAGTCTATTAGCACACAATACACTAAAAATTATGGGCACTCCCAGATTTAGGGCCACAGCCTGTAAATCCAGCCTGAGGATCATGAGTTGTAGGTCAGTGAGTTTGAGGCCAACCTGATCTCCATAGTAGGATCCTGTCTCAAATCAAATAAAATTGTGGGGTGCCTGTGACTCATGATTCTGTTTTATACATTCATGTGTTACCTGTATGTTCTAAATTAGTGTCTTAGAAAAGTCCCATACTTCCACTGAAATATAAATGTTCTTAAATATCTTTCAATTGATAAATTCTTACTTGGAGTCGTGATGTATTTTTCAAGCATCAGAAATGTCGTCGGAATATACACAAAGTGCATTCCTAATTTATAACCTTCTGTAATCTTTATTCTCATTTCTCATGAGAAATTCAGTATTTTATTTACCAACACTTGATTTTAAATGACTTATCTGCATGGCTGTTGCATACAATGGAAATGAAGGCACAGGCCCAGGCTAGCATAGGTGGGGACTTGACTACCCAGCACCTAGATTCAGCAGCAATCTTTGTTTGTATTTAGGGAACTCAAGGAGCACCAATTACTGGTTTCTTTGATTATCTACAGGAGATACCTCCAATTTAGTAGATTTCAATTTTAGCCTTTAGACAAGAATGTGAAAATATAATTCTGGGGATCATAACACAATACTATAGAAACATGCGCAGTTCCCTGGGGGGCGGGAATCAAATCTAAAACCTTCAGCATGGTACACGGTGACCTCCACAACCAGCTCCTTCTGAGCCCCCGCCCCAGCTCCATCTCCCACATCTGTGTAAGCCACTGCAGACGTCTTAGTCACGAAGCTTGCTGTTTAAAATCCTCTCTTATGCTCTACTCTTCCTTCTGCAATATTCTTTGTCTTAGCTGTTAAAGAAAAACATCTGACTCAATCCAGTCACCTAATCTTCAGTTTTGCAGATCCTTCCCCACCAGCTTCTACCACATAAATTAATTTCCACCTTCTTTACCTCTTACTGGACCCTAGTCATGCAATCAATGCAGTTGTATTTTCAGCTGTTAACTCTTTCAGATTGTTTCTGTATCCTCCTTCCTAAAAGTTTCTAAGCTCTTACTGGCCTTCATACTATCCGAAAATCCACTTAATTCTCCCTCAGTTGTTTTGAGGATGTAGCAGGGAGCTAAGGGGACTGGATGGTTCCGAGTGCCTTTCTCCTTCTCCTTTATTATCTTCAATTTTTTTAAAGGAAAACATGGTAGAGTGATTTAATATGTTTGGGGAATCTGCGGGTATCAGTGTATACAGTTTGATTCAATGCAGCTAAACATTGCTTAACAGACCAAACATTAGTGCTCTCCATTTCCATATGACTTATCCTTGGAATTTCTTTAAGTACCAATGTTTGAGAATTTAAATAATGTTTTATATTTTGAAACAGGTATGAAAATGATCCTATTAGACATTAGTAAACTATTAGATGAGAAAATTAGTCAATAAACCTTCTGAATAATTAATTGTATATAACAGATATTGAGTAAAAGCAATCTAAATAAATTTTAAACAGAAAAAGGGAAGCTTGGCTTCAACCTTGGACTATGAGCCTAGGAGCAATTCTTGGCAGGCACAGACACAGGCAGTGCTAACAGATCTGTAGCTGGCGGAAGCTCAAATGGACCAGATAAGAGTTTGAGTTACATGATCAAGCAGAAACCAATAAGATGAATGAAAACTGAAATAAAGAAATGGTGCGCTTTACTTTGAAACCATTTATATGACAAAGATTTGGGGATTTTAGCTGACCACAATTTTAATATGAGCCTAAGCAAACTACCACAAAGTTGGAACCAAAGCCCCGTTCTAGCTGCAGCAATTGTCTAAGACTTCTAGCTCTGTGAGTGGATGGTATATTTAGTGCTCTTATTATATGATTTTTACTATTGTTTTTTTTTCGTTTTTAATTTATTCAATCTTGCACTGCCTAATACCTTTCAGGCATTTTATTGGGAAAAAAATCTAAACACTGGAATCATTCAAATGAGTGTGCTGCAGCTAAAACATATTTATGTGATCTTAGACTGTGTAAGCAGGAATCCTCTTGTCTGGAAGGAGATGAAAAGTCCCATTGCATTTTTCTTTAAATTGAGTACATCTGAAGAATTTGACAGAGTTTGAACAGTGCGATTTGAACAGTGTAGTTCAGGGACCATACTGACGTTGTAGACAGCAACAATTCAAGAAAGAATTGGGACAGGAGAAATGGAGAAAAGGTGGAATGCTTAGCCATAACAGGAAAAAGCTTTAGAAAAAACAGATGTCTGAACCACTGCAAATGAGTGTTGACATATATTTTGATGAGCTCCAGGTGCAAATACTGGGAGCAAAGAATGGAAGAGGTTAAAAGTTAGGTTTGGACTCGACAGGAATCAATGGCCTACCAAGTACAGCTTCGCAAGCATACACTAGTGGTGCTCAAGAAGAAAGTAGAAAAGCACAGGCCAAGAGCATTGGGAAGAAGAGGGTGAGGTGCTTGTGGGGCAGTGGACAGAGTCAGCCCAGGGGCACTTGCTCAGGCTCGAGCTCCCACAATGTTCCTGTGACTGCAGTGCACACACATCTGTAGGTGCATCTGGACCTGCTCACCTGCTAGCGTGTTAGCCTTTTCAAGTCAAAATTGTGTGGTTTTTGTTCATCTTTGTCTTCCCAGATGCAGATATATTTTCGTAACATGATAAGTACAAAAAGTTCATTAGATTAGTAAGTCAATTTATTAGTGATTATGATAACCTCAAAGATTCTTTTCAGGTCTAGGCACCCATACGTTTGTAGGTTAATAAATAAAAGCATGCAATAGTTGCTTTGCCAGGAATTCTGATGGCATAGAGCAATCTATTCAATCATTTGATACACACACACACACACACACATACACACACACACACACACACACGGTTAATTTCCTATAATATTTGGAAGGTAATGGCGCAAATGAAATAAAGCTAGAAAGAGCAGGACTAAAATCTAAATCACTTAGCAATAAGATATGAGAGAAAAATTCTGAAATCTATGTGATTTTTTTGAAGACAAAATAAATTATAGTGTGCTTTTTAGACATTAAATATATATGTATATGCATACATTGAGAGATACTATGTATGCCGAAAGAATAACATTAAATTGCTAAATCTTACTAATTCTAGACAATA